GTATATATTTTTTTTGATAAATATTCCGTTGGTGGTAGATATTGATGAGAGCTATTCAACTGGCTCAACTGACTAGGCTTTAATTTTCAATTTCAAAGAATCGAAACGAAAGTTAAAGCTATCTTGTCTAATCCCGTTTAAACTGAAATCTTACTTTACACGATGCAAATGTATATCCCATTTCAATAAATTCAATTGTTGATTAACGATCGGAAATGCAATCAAATTAAAATTAGATGTTCCGAATCCGCTACCCTTCTCAAACGGGAATTGTACGTGTTTTGCAGCAAAAGATAAAAAAGTTATGAGCCAAATAATGTAAATTGATTTCAGAAATACCACTGGAGGGTATTGGCTAAAAAATGAAGCTGGTCGCGAGTTCTTTAACAGAGTTTTAACCATACATGTATTTACAATGATATTAAAAATGCTTATAGCTGCAAGGGTGTTTTTCTATATTTCGATTATTCATATGTCAATTTTTATTGAAGGGTAATTTATCGCAATCTAGCCTAAACTGAGTTGTCGCTGTACTTGATATAATGTATCGAATATCTCGCTAGTCTATGACCAAGTTCCCGTCCTGATGATAAACAATATGTTCTCAACATATATCGTGCTAAGTACGGCGTGTCTTTGGAATCTATTTCTCCAAGTGATACCAGAACGAGTTACAGAGGAGAACACTGAGGATTTTAGCTTTGATGGCCTCCCCGGGGCTCAGCATGAATTCAAAATAGAGGTTCCTGCAAGCCAGGAGGAGTGTTTTGTACAGAGAGTGGCACAGAATGCTAATCTTTATGCTTCGTTTGAGGTAGGCGGGCCGTGCATATGTACGTGCAGTTAGATACAAAATGCTAAAAGCAAAAACCATGAAAACTTTCTGGCGTAGACAATACCTATGAAATGCATGTACTATTGTATACATGGTTTACAAGTTTAATTCCTAAATTCTAAAGATCGGGTTACAAGGAAATACTATAGTACATGTAGTTAATTGTACATAATATTAGAATTACATAACTGTAAAAACAGGGTTAGGGTTAGAAAAAATTTTCTTGGGGTAAAATTTTTTAGGCTGGTGGAAAAAATATTGGTTTGTAGGGATTTGATTTCATTGTTGGAAAATGTTTACATGTAGTAGTAATGCATATATGAAATTTAGATTTCGAGTTGGTAATGAATTTGTTGGTCCCTCCATACTTCGTAAAAACGAAAATTACACCCCTAAAAATTAATGATTTCCCAGCTTTTAAGGATATACTAGTACCTTAATTACGCTGTCTCAGGTCAAAAAGTAAAACGTATGTTTCCGCGTATCGTTCGTACATGCTTTCTACATGTACATGCTTGAAGCTTCTTTTCGAATATGTAGATTAACAACGTTCAACTAATTTGGACACAAACTATTTCTTGATAAAAGAATAGTAGAATTTGTTAATTTTGGGGGTTCACTTTCTTTTAGGGCAGGGAAATGAAACGAAATCTCTAAAATTAATATATTCATACAAATTTATATGAAAAGATAGCTTTATATCAATGTTTCCCTCTGTCTACAAGGGTACTGTAATGGATGAACCACTTATAGTTGATCATGCATCTGAATTTTTCCCGCGGATACCTTTGCTGACAAGTATAGTATACGAGTACTGTGATATAAAGAAAGCGACACATATTGCTACGTCCATATAAGATGATATACTCTATTTAACTAGGGTTCATCCTTCTTCTATGGATACTTTCATCTAATGAAAAGCATAATCCATGATTCTTGCATTCTTTTTACAGGTTCTTCGAGGCGGTGATCGTATTGTAGACTTTTATGTGAAGGATGGTTATAATAATATGATCAAAGAAATCATTTACAAATCAGAGGGGAGTATAGAATACACGGCTCCTGACACTGGTATGGCTGATATAATAGAGATTCAATAAAGGCTTTAAAATCTATATTGAGGTTTTATTGAGTCGATCTGTAGATATTAAACATCTCACGCGTAGCGCATTGATGAAAAAGTTTTCCATCCAAATTTTTCTTTGATACATCGATCAAAGAAAAAATTATTACATTCATTTCTTATCATTTAATTATGATTTTAAATTATTAAAATGAAAGTTTCTTTCAATTTTCTATTAAATTTATGTATCAAAAACAGTGCGCACGAATACATCACCATAACGTTAACGTTGCTGAAAATTCAAAATGGCTCTAACCATGCTAACGAAAAACGTTATCAAATATTGTCGTGTGATTACCAACAGTCTCCAAAATAATTTACAGTTCTTTAACACAAAAAAATACCTGATGTGTTATCCCCTCTGGGTATATTTTCCCCGGTAAGTTATCTAAGTTCGTAAATGTAAAGGGAAGCTACTCAAATATCCTAACAGTTCTACGTCACAGAAATTTTGGATTTCATTTGTGCATCTTTTCATTTGAATTTCAAACCGAATATATAAATACGTATCATAACCTGTCAATGCTATAATACCTGAAAGAGTCTGCTGCCGATAGTTCAAGATTAAAGAATTCCATCCTCAATTCATGCAGTGTCGTTTTTCTTGATCACTCGTTTCCAACGATTTAACAGATTTTCGGTTTTCCCCGCTTTGGTAGCATAATAAAACATTTTTTCAGAGTTCTATTGTATCATACCAGATATCTCAAAGTCAAACATTTAAGAAAAGTATGTCGATTAAACGATTTCTTCCCTTCTTTCCCGTAACTGTATTGTCGTCATGCAGACGATTTTAATTTGTTTAGCAAAGGGGGATAATTCAAAATGAAACGAAAGTAGAAAGTAAGTCAGGAAGCTAACGGACAGGTTCCGAAATTCAGGAAAATATTTATTAAAGCAAAGGTATTTAATTATTCCTTCAAAAAGTAACCTGGAAGCGGGGAATACATATGTACCGACTGTCAAATAGTTCCGGCTGCTTAGTGCAACCGAACTCTAGATTTTATTGATGCAGTTATCAAAAGAATTTTTTATCCAATCAGAATCAAGTATTTTATAGAAATTAAATGATTTGGTAATGAACAAAATCATCATACATTATTTGGACACTGCAGTGCATACTGTTGGTTTTTTCCAATGGATTTTTCTTCTTGTACAATTGATATATATATTTACTCTCATAGTAATATGCTTAAAAATAACACTTAAGTCCTTGTTTTTCTTTTTATTCTAGGACATTATCAGATATGTGTTCAAAATATTCATAGCAGATTTTTATCGAAGCTTGTATACATTTATATTGTGACGGTGGTTGAAGAAGAATGGACCAAATATGTAGCCGAAATAGAGGGATTGCAAACAACAGTTCAAAATTTTACGGTGAGACATATAAACGTATAATATTGTGCATGCAGTTTTACTTTACTGTTGCTGCAAAACGTGTATGCGTGCTATGTATTTATTTCTGCATTAATTGCAATCGTTCATTCCCTTACTAACAATAAAAGGCAATTTTATTTATATCTTTATTTTAGAAAAAAATATATAATTGGATAATGCAAAGATTTAAGTCGGTTAAATATTGTACTATTGACTGAAAAGCAAAATCTATACAAGTGACTTGAAAAACGTTCTAATAATTTATAAGAATCTGAAGTGGATGTAAATATCAAGAATAAAGGTTATATTGTATGAGGTTGTGATGGAATTGCACTAACTTGTTTGTCTGAAAGAAATAAAAATTGACAAGAATAGGGAGTACATTGTAGAATTTCATTACATGAAAACTTACAAACTCCTTATACAATTAACTTTTACACTATTCTAATTGCCTCTGTATTTATAAGTCATTTCTTCTTTGCAGACATCCATCTCGGTGGTTCAAAAGTCCATAGACCAAGTACGATTGCATCAAGCCACTAGTAGAATGAACATTATAAAGGACTGGTATTTACTGACCGGAAATAATGCTTACGTCATGTATTGGTCCGTTTTCCAGATTGTTTCTATTTTAGCAACGTCTTGTTTTCAGGTGTACTTTGTAAGGAAATTATTTAATATCCCAGATGTGACTCCTTCATCCAAACCAAGAGCTTAGAAAGATGACAGCAAACATTAGATATAAAACGGAAGACTTTATTTTATTTCATAGACATGTATTATCATTACCTTCATCATTACATGTATTATCATTTCATTGATGTATACATGGTCTTGTCTTATTACAGAAGTGATGTAACACTGTGGAATAAATAAAATCCAAACACCATTTATTTTATAACCTATTGACATAGAAGTGTAGGAGCAAAACCAAAAAAAAATGTGATACCTTTTAAAGACATAGATATGTATGAAACGTGACCAAAAAAAAATTCTCTCAAACAAATCTCTTTTCACCTTTGATAATATTTTAAAATGATAAAAATAGCATTTTGGGGACTCTTCTCTTCACTTTTTTACACAAACAATGAACCAAAACGCACTCAATCGAAAGGAATTAGTTATTCACATATGCATGTATTTACATTTCCATATAGGTTATAGCACAAACGTAACCACCAGCCTTTATATCCTCTCTGTTTGTCGTACTTAGGACAGAATCTAATTAATGGTTTATTATGTACAGGACCTTTATTTCACAAGTTTTATCTGTTCTCATCACATAATTTCATGCTTTTTTGATAAAGTCGAAATCCCAAACAAAAAAGTACATTTGAAATATCTCCCTATTTTTTAAAACAAATATTTTGGTCGTAGCTGATATTGTAATGTTTCAATGACCAGAGGCAGGCGACTGGAGGAATAGTTCGAGGAAGACAAACATCGTTTTAGGAGTTTCTTTCAAGTAAACAGTTTCTTTTAGATTGGGCTTCATGTAAGACCTAAAACTGCTTCTAGGTTATTTAACGTTACTTTAATTTAAGGACGTTCGATCCTGAGATTTTGAGCGTATTTTGGTCAGGTCCTTTATTTATAAAATTCTGCATCATTTTTAAGTTCTAACATTAAATCTGAATTCTACAGTGCAAGTTTAACTAAATCCAAAGAAAAAACCGCGATTAAATTGCATTCAAGTAGAATTAAAGCTGTGGACTATATTTTGTGGCGGAAGGTTTTTTAGACGAAAATGATCAGTTTTTCCATTTTGAACTATAACAGTACTGTTAATTTTGGATTCCTATTTTTTCATCCTGGTTGCACACAAAGCTGTTTTTTGCAATGAAATGTGTTATGCTGGTTCTAAAATATCTATTAAATAATTTCTTATGTACTCTATCAATAAAGTGTGACAAATATAGTCAATATCATCTGAAAATGCGGGAAAAAATTGAGCCAATTTTAATGTAAAATTGACATTGTTATACTTATATTTGAAAATTTTCATCATATACCCCCACTTTTGATATTCTTTTC